AATTCATTTAGTGTTTTAAAAGTTATTGTGCTTTTGTGTTATTTTAATATAATAATCTCCCATATTCCATTATATTATATTATATAATTCACGATATATATATATAGTTGTATAGTTTTATACAGTCATATATATAACTAACCTAACCCAGCCTAATGTAATCTAACCCAACCTATAGATTCATAGTTTACAGTGCAATTATAAGAATTTTTTAAAAATTATGTAGGATCATTAAGGTGCCCTCATCAGTCACCATTGCGTGTACCGGCTAGGTACGGCATTGGCAGCAAGCTGTGACGTTACTGACGCATGCGCATAAAGCTCTCGCGTGAGATAAAATCTCACGACTGCCCAACACTTGTGGGAAATGAGGGGAGGGTCCTCCTACCATCTCCTACTATTCACCTGATTCGTGGCTTCAACGCATGAGAATAGGATGGTGATATTTGTCGACGTTATACTATTTCATTTTTGCAAGTGAAAAAAGGATCAAGTTTGAGAAATAGTAGGAGATATCTTCCCCTGACTTCTCCTATAAATGTATGAATCCTAGTACTCTCCTGAACGTATATTCTGCTGCAATCGATGCAATGTAGGCTTCCGTTAGCTAAGGACTACTGTAGGGGAGGAATTATCTACCATTTTTTTCCATTTTGAGAGAATACAAAAATAATCTAACACGAAAACTGAAAAGGTTTCACGTACTCAAATCTTCAAGTTTCTAAATTTGAAGTTCAAGTTTTTAAATTTAATAATTTATCAATCAAAATAATTTACCAAGTAGTCTTCTTCCCCTGTATCATAAGTTTACGCAAACAAGTATCAAAAAAAGGGTGTATAGGAAATATAGGTCACAATAAAATTTAAGCATGTAGGAATACATAAAATTTTTCTTTAATAAGATAAAATTTGTTATAACATACATATCCATATCATATTATTAATACATATGATACTAAATTTTGGATATAACTGAAATTGATAAAAATTGTATCGAATGAATACCTAAAGTTAGGTAATTTTTAATTATATGTTCTAAAAATTCTGGTTTCTTGTGAATTTTAAATTGTTATTAAATATTTTATTGAAATATTAAACTTGAGACTTTATCAATATAACAATGTATATACTTTATTAGCAATATTTTAGTTTCAATGTACATGTTCTTTTAGCAATACTTTGCACTAGTAATTCAAAAAATGTTTTCTACACGCCTATCGTGTGCTCTGTTTTTAAAATTCGATATAATATTGATTTTGAAAATTCTTTAGTATTATTGTCATACTACCAAATTGTATATTGTGGACAAAGCTCCTTACTTCATATAATAATTACTAAGAAGTGCATTATTGTTAAATTGTCTAGAAACTGATAATTTCAATTTGTAACATTATAATGTGAACACATTTGTATACAAGTTTTCTAAAACACTATGTAATACTGTGCTGCCCAATGTATTTATGAAACTGAAGAAACTCTTCTATATACTTTTTATAGCTGTTAACATGAGTAGTACATTACAACTGGCAGACGTTGCTTTATCCATAAGAAATATGTATTATTACATATAATTAAACATAATTGTTTCCAGCAATGATATGTTTTCTGTTTCTAGATATGGACAGCACCAATTTAATAAATTCTATAAATATAATAAAAATAAATCATCAAAATGTAAATATATTCAAATTTTGAAACTCTGAAATATAATAGTTCAACAAATTTTTAGCACCTAATGTATATGTATACTACATTTACCTATTAATTAGAACTTAATAATACATAGTAATATGTATATATCTGACATATTATGCTGTCTGCAATTCATATAATTTTGGTACACAAGTAAAAAATTATAATGAAAGAAACCATAAAGTAATACAAAGTGAACATGGAAATACAATTCTCTTGTGAAATCTGATAAAACAAAATATACAAATTTTAATATGTAAATATACGTGCTACGTAATTCATTAATTATAACAAAAGTTTGTACATATAAAAATTTGCAGCTAAACTACAATAATAACAATACTGTTACAATTAATGTAGATAAAATATAATTATAAAATGTAATTTAAATGAAAAATTTTGCTATTTAATAGATTTTGAAATATAATTTTAAAGTATTATGTTTCTTCTAACAAAATATAACTATATGAAACAAATAGCGTTATTATTTTGTTTTGCGCACTGCTTTTGGTCGATATAATTAAATTATTCTTTATCGTATTTTCCGTAAACTTTCAGGATATAGGACGAGTTTCACTTTTTATAATAAAATAGTAATACATTGAATAAAAAAAATAATTCGTAAATTTTAGTTCTTAGCAAATCAAATTAATTTGATGCAATCAAATAAATTTTTGTCCTTTTTCCTATCTTTTCTATATACATGTATACATATATATATATATATATATATATATATATATATATATATATATATATATATATATATATATATATATATATATATATATATATATATATATATATATATATATATATATATATATATATATATATATATATATATATATATATATATATATATATATATATATATATATATATATATATATATATATATATATATATATATATATATATATATATATATATATATATATATATATATATATATATATATATATATATATATATATATATATATATATATATATATATATATATATATATATATATATATATATATATATATATATATATATATATATATATATATATATATATATATATATATATATATATATATATATATATATATATATATATATATATATATATATATATATATATATATATATATATATATATATA